ACATACTTCATGGCCATAACTATCATTCCCAATTTTCTAAGCATAGTGGAAATGCTCATTTTGAAACAAAGCATCTCATTTTAATACTCTCTTGGTGAAATAGATAATAAAGCCAAATACTTTTCAGCCAAATAGTTTTTCTTATAAAATTCAGCAATCCCTGCATGAAAGTTGATTAGATAATTTCAAATATTAAGAAATTTCATGCAGCTGGGAGAATGGATCTTGTAGTTCCATAAAATATATTTATTTATTAAAAGTTGTGAATACAGATGACTGAGATAAAGAACGTGCAAATTATAAAGGAAATTGAAATGGCGTTCAAGATTTCCCAAATTTCAAATGAGCATTCTATCGAACGGAAAAAGCTCATCCAATGGCAAATGGCAATAAAAATTTTACAGACAGCAGCCATCTTAAGAGTCTTAGGGTTGTAAAATTCATCTGAATTTTACTCCACCCCCCCCCCTGCCAGTGCATTGGACATAAAAGTATTAGATTTCAATGAAAATAATTGGGCTTATTGGTGTAGCGTAGCAAGCAGTTTTGTTGGGACGCAAAAGGCACTTCATGAATAAAATGTTAGTTGCAGAAAAACCAATTTGATCATTAATGAAACATATGTTTTCCTATTTCCTTGGCGGCATTTGCCACCATCAGTGTTTGAGATTTCTCATGAACGAAAACACCGAAACACTCAGATTATAAAAAATAATAATTGAATGAACACTATAAAATAAGTATTAAACTGGAAAAATGGAAATAATTTTTTTAAAATTTATAAAGTAATTTTTGCTAAATTCAGCCAAGATATATATTTTTTTAATAAGTGTCATAGATGTAAGCTTAATGGGCTGGTGAATTGGATTTAATTAAAAAGTGATTTCGCAGAACAGAATTGTTATAAAATTTGAAAAATTTGAAAAAATATTTATAATTGAATCGACTTGAACTTCGAAAAATCGCAAATCTAATTTTAACTAGATGGAATTAAATATTAGTGAGACACGTGCTCAAAAAGATGTGTCAATTTAGGAGATTTACAGCCAGAAATGCTTGCAGAAAAAACCCGAAAAAGATGGTATTTGATTTATTTAAACTGAGAAAGATTTGCCAAGTTAAATTCAATTAAAAATGGAAAATAGCATCTCCCTCACTTTTAAAATACTTCTTCACTGTGCTCTATATACTATTGGGTGGGCAACTAAGTCATTGCCGTTTTTGTTGACAGATTCACACTATACTTTCTTTTGTTTTGTTAACGTGGCCAGAGCATCTAACCTATATTTTTTTCTTACTGTATGGGCTTCTAGGTTAATTAGTGAAAAATGTTTTTGTTTAGTTCTTTAGTTTTGGTTTTATCCCAATTTAAAAATGAAAGAACAGGATGTGCACTTCCCACACATTTTATTGTATTACTTCCGAAAAGGCAAGAACCCATCGCAAGCACAAAAGAAGTTATGTGCCGTATATGGAGATGAAGCCTTAAAAGAAAGGCAGTGTCGAAATTGGTTTGAAAGATTTCGTTCCGGTGATTTTTCACTGAAAAATTCACAACGATCTGGCCGCCCAGTCAAAGTGGATGAAACCCATATCAAGGCCATTATCGATTCAAATCGTCACAGCACAACACGAGATATTGCAGAGAAGCTCAATGGGTCGCATACATGCATTGAAGATAAAAATTAAAAACCCTTAGTTATGTCAAGAAACTTGACTTATGGATCCCTCACCAGTTAAAGGAAATTCATTTGACGCAACGGATTAGCATCTGTGATTCGCCGCTACTGAAACGCAATGAGAATGATCCATTTCTGAAGAACCTAGTTACTGGCGACGAAAAGTGGATAGTTTATAACAATGTTACTCGCAAGAGATCATGGGTGAAGCAAGATCAACCAGCCCAAACAGTATCAAAAGCAGCAGAGATTCACCAAAAAAGATTATGCTGTCAGTCTGGTGGGATCACAAAGGAATTTTGTATTTTGAACTCATGCCGCAGAACCAAACGATAAATTCAAATGTGTATGTTGAAGAACTCGAAAAACTGAAGGATGGATGCAATTGAAGATAAGCGACCGGCATTATCAGATCGGAAGGGTGTTGTTTTCTATCATGATAACGCAAGGCCCCACACATCTTTGGTTACTCGACAAAAATTATTGGAACTGGGTTGGGATGTTTTGTCACACCCACCATATAGCCCTGACCTTGCGCCTTCGGATTACCATTTGTTTCGTTCCATGCAAAACTCATTAAATGGTAAAATTTTTAGCAACGCGGATGATGTCGGATTACACCTAATTCAGTTTTTTAATAACAAAGACCAGATATTGTACGAACGGGGAATTTTTACTCTGCCAGAACGATGGAAAAAGGTCATCGACAAGAACGGCCAATATCTAATTGAATAAAGTTATATTTTTAAACAAAAATTCCGAATTTGCCTTCTTATTTGAAATCGGCAATGACTTAGTTGCCAACCTAATATAATTACGAGGTAGTGTAAAGCGCTGTAAATTAGACTGGACGTTTGATTCAACCATTAGATACGTTTAAATGAATTTTTGAAAACCGCTTTCTCTCCATCCCCCCTCTCTCTCTCTCTGGAACTGCCAGCTCGCTTAGTTCACATTTGAATCAGGAATTTTTATTAGCTAATTCTTATAATAGGCAATCCACTCCTGTGAGAATAAGTTTTGCCTGTTGAAATATATATAGCTACCTTCAGATGAATATAAGGATTGCAGCCGATAGGAACACTAACTTTGCTAGTTGTGCTCATTATGTCACTAGTTTGTTTTTGGCATGTTTTGGTAAACAGACCAGGTTGATCTAATCGATTTGGAAGGAAAAAACTTGGATCTCCTCAGATTTCATTTGGTCAGCATTGCTGTACTCCATTAATTGTGATCAAATTTCAGGTTCGAAGTTTAAGGTTATCGGCTGTCAGACGAGGGTGGGGCAAAGCAACGATAATTATAAATTGATAGAGGGGCGAGAGAGCTTGATAGAGACAAGAGGGGCAATGGGCAAAGAGACGAGGGGGGGAGAGAATGGTGTATATGCATATCAAGTGCCTTAATGTGACCCTTTGATGAACTTTACAGGCAAAACCGAGTTATCATGAGAGGGCGAAGGACTAATTTCTGCCTAAGATTCTCAAAGTGAAGAGTTCGACAGCAATTAAAGCTATAATAAAAGCTAAAGATGGTATTGATTTTTCCCAGTGGAACAAAATAAAGAATTTTCAGGACCATTCTAAAGCTTCTTACTTGAATAGAATGTGCCCAAGGTACCTCAAGGCAAGAAAAGTGTAATGACAAGAAGACAACAGCCACAAACCACGTGCTTCTCTTTAAATTGTTCTGTCTGTGATTTGCTGAAAGTTATCAGCCACCACTTGTTAAACTCGAAAATTTGCTCTTATCTTTCAATAGAATGCACGGAAACCTAAAATCGGATTGCATTGAAATTTCCCCTCAAATGTCAACTGATATACCTTGCAATCGTAATTTATTAAAAATTACAATAAATTTGGCTCGACGAGAATTTTGCGAAAAAATTAACAAGCGAAAAAATTGTTATTGATATAATCACAAAATATTTTAATTGGTGAAAATTGCCATGAATTGCTAGCAGATGTTTCGCATACAACTTGATTAAACTTTCCAAAATGCAAGGACCAAATGTTCCCAACGATATGGGAAAATGTGAAATCCCCTTTATTTCAATTCAAGAATAAATAATTTGTTGTTCAAATTCGAACTTACAAAATATTTCATTCCTCTCTCCCTGGTTGATTTTTTTAAGACAGGCAATTAAGTATTTTTACGATTTGAAGATACATTGACACAGTTTGATTTTTAAAGTTGGTATAGGTTTCCATAATTGCCATTTCGATAGTTTATTGATAAATAGAACTCTTTGGGTTCGAGATGCATTTGTAGGCAAATAAAATTGAAGGGTTGACTTGACCACCCAATATCGATTGCAAGATTGAAGTTCAAAATTTGAACTAGCCTAATTGAAAAACTCTAATTTTTTCTCATCCTCTCACTTTAATAATTTTAACTTTCATAAAATTCATTATTTTTAAGATGTAGATTTTTATTTTTATTTAAATTATCTGAAAGTATAAACAACAGCGTCTTTTCCCAGCCTGTTTTATTAATACCTAAATTCATTGGTAGAGTGATAACTTCAACAAAGGAATTTTGAAGCTTAGCTTCTTTTGGTACTAAATAAAAATTCGTTTGACCTGCTGTACTGATTACTAGGCATTATTGAACTTAGGTGAAATCGAAAGTAATCTGCCAAACTTACATGGAATTAATATCTTGACTTTTAGAAGTAAATAGTATTTGAAATAGTACGATTAATTATCCCAATTATATAATTGTTCGGTTAACTATCGACTTAATGGATATGAATGCGCTTAAAATGGAAAAATGGAGATTTTCCCATGAATTGTGAAAGGAATAACAGCCAACAAAGTAATCGAGTACCCGTTCATATAAATGACAAAAAATAGATCATCATCATTTATTTTTAACCACTCTGAACATCTCTCACAAGGTTATTTCCTCATAATGAAATGTTCCAATTTTACGATTCCATGGGTACTTATAATTATTGCTCACATTCACTTAACCTTGAAATCACTAAAGCAACCACATGTCAATGACATCTGCAAATAATATGTCTGATGTAAGCGCCAAACTTGACATAAATCAGAAATTGAAAATTTTTTTATTGCCTCTAAGCTTCTTAATGCGCAACAAATTCGTATTATTTTTACTCTTAATGCTGCAAAAATCATGTTGCGTTTTAATTCAAGTTATATTAGAAATTCGCATTTAAAGGAAGAGGAGACTTCATTAAATCGAACACGACAGCAAACAGCTACAGACTATATTTTGATTGGTTAAAGCATCTTTGGGCTTGGCTATAAATATGCTACTGATAAACATGTTGCATATCATAGGTCAACTGTTTCAATGGTATGTTCATGTTAATATTTCATTAATAGAATAAAACTTAACCTTCACGGGTGTTAATTTCATGCTTATTGTATGAGTCATAATTTAAAAAAAATTAATACTTTGGCTTAACAATGGTTTTATCGATGAGAAATTAAGTAATACATGTTTGTGATTTACTTCCCTCTACTTTGACAGTTTTAATAAAATTAATAACTCTTGGAGGTCAAAATAAGATTAAATTTGTATTTATTAAGTCGATATATTTCGATTTTGAAGATAAATTTGGCACATATGAGACCGAAATCGCAAATATTTGTGCTACTGAAGTTACAAGATTTTATTATGTCTTAGTATGAATAAAATAAATAACTCATATAAATTCTATTTAAAAGAAGAGGAGTTATTATTATGAACTTTTGCTACTTTTGTGCCCAAACAAATGAACTGTTAATATATTCTAGTGTTAGCATTATTTCCAAAAAATCAAAAATAAGATCACAAGTTGAGGTTGTTAATTTGAATACATCTACGATTTTTTACATATTAACCTTTCTCAGTAAATCTTAGGTGATTTCAATGCTATATCACAGCTTGATATGAATGTTTGGTAGACTTGTTCTGTATATGCATTTTTGTTTCCAAGTGACTCACCCAAACACCTCTTTTCCGATTCCACTAGCATTAAATATTTCTTTTATCTGAAGTTCAATTTTATTTGAAAATAGCGTTTAACTGGTGTTTTGCGTGTTGAGAATAAAAGTTTAAGTACAGTAAAGGCAAGATTTGCCTCTAAGCCACTCTGTAATTTATATCGAATTCATTATCTATTAGGATCTTTCAACGGAAGTACACGAAGACTTGTTCAGCGTTCATTATTTTATTTAATTTTATTTGTTTATTTAATTTTAACATATTTCAAGTTAGGTATCCTACTTTAGCCAGAATTTAATTTTGTGACTTTACCTTCACTTTACCCTTGTTACCGTTTTGCAAGACATGTGTGCCTACACATTCGGCACAAATATATGTATTTTCTCATTTTAGCCACGCATCATATGCATGTTGAGAGAAATTTTAAGCTATTAATAGCCTTTATATATATAAACACTACTGTTGATTCCGGGAGCAATGAATTTGGCTATTTCATATTGAAAGTATGCACAGGTTTCAAGGGTTAACTTGCATTAATTGATATCGGGTATAACTTGGACCTCTAGACCAGATTGATTAACTCAATGACTGACACATTATCACGTACATTTACTTTTACCTTCTCGAAGGCAGGCAAATGTGGAGAGGGCGAACTAAGGCACTTTGAGCGTAGTCAAGCTCACTAGAGAATAAGAATACACGGCGTTTGGCGTAGAGGTTTTTAGGAGAAAAAGAAATAGTTCTTTAAAAACCACAAGGTTAGCAGGATTCAAAAGAAAGTTGATAGACACGGAAGTTGTAGCTCCCTTGAAGACTTAAACTCGAAATTATCGTTGTTGGTTCCAACTGCAACATCAAGCTGTCACCAGAAGTTGTAGCAGACTGACTTTACACTCGCACAGGGAAGGATGTTAAAAGTGATTTAATCCTGCCCATTAAGTGGTTATCTTTGCTAAACTGCCCGTGTAATTGGTCTCTCTTAGAGGCCAAGCAACATTTTAACTTGACTGACAATTACTTTGACTTTTTCTGATGTGCGTCATGGAACTGTGCAATACAGCTACCCTGTTATTAGTTACCTACGTTCGTTGTCCATGATTTAATTGCAACAATGAGATTAGCGATTCGACTCAGGCCCCTGATTTCAGACCAGGCAGATCTTTCACAAAGTGTCGAATCACCACATCATCTTCAAAGAACACACTTACAACTTACCATAACAGTTTGAGAATTTAGCTTGCGTATGTGTGACACGGGGAGTGACAATTTTAACAGAACTCAAGCCAATCCACTTTCATTTTGTCTTGCACTTTCCTATCGTCTTGTATTCGTTTGCACATTTGCTAACGAACAGCTCAAACTTATTGCGAGCTTACTGAAACTTATTGAGACATTCGCATCTACTTGCAATTATTTAAAGTATTTTTGTCCTTTCTTAGATAAATCAACACATATTGCCATTACTTTTAGTGGCTTCACTAGTTTTTGGCAATTATTGTCGCGAAGGTATCACCGGTGATGATTGTAATGATGTAGATTCGATCATTCAAGGAATTTTCAACAATATCTCCAAATATGACCGTCCTAAGCTAAGGCGTGTACTTCCTAACAACACTACTTCCGATACTCTATTTGTAGAGGTGAACATGTTCATTAGCACATTCAGCACCATTAGTATGGTGAACATGGATTACAGTTTAGACTTCCTTCTTAGACAGCGTTGGTATGATCCACGCTTGGATGTTTCTAGCCGGTACAGCTATGCTGACGTACCCATCCACCTCCATATGGATAAAATCTGGCTACCAGACCTATTCTTTCGCAATTCCAAATCCTCCGAACTAAATATCCAAACAACACCAAACACATTGGCATGGATTTCGTCAAACGGAATGATTACTTACTCACAGAAACTTTCTGTACGTCTATTCTGCCCAATGGAGCTTTGGGATTTTCCAATTGATACTCAGATTTGCAAAGTGGACATTGGGAGCTATGGCTATCCAACAAAAGATCTGGAATTTCGATGGTGGAATGATGAGGGGTATGATCGAAATGGAATTAAACGCAGTGGAGATATTTTGAATTCAGCAGTTCAATTCAGCAACAATCTTCAAATGAATGAATTCGACATAGATAGCTACAATTGCTCATACTGTGATAAGAACTTCAAAAACACTGGAAGCTTCACATGTTTGAATATTGATTTTAAACTAAGTCGAAAGTTTGGATTTTATCTCCTCTATGCATATCTGCCGTCCCTCCTTGTTGTGATGATTGCTTGGATGTCATTCATGATTGACTCTGAAGCTACGGCGGCTCGCACTTCACTAGGGCTTCTCACAGTTCTATCACTCATGACTCAAAGTGCTGCAGTTCTTTCACAACTTCCAAGAGTGTCCTATATCAAGGCAATTGATACATGGTTCTTTATTTGCTTCACATTTGTTGTTGGCACTTTGCTTGAATTCGCTTTCGTCAATACAGCAGCTAGAAGAGAAGCGAAACAGCAAAGAAAGATGACTGAGTTGTCGACCGAACAGGTAGGGGGTAGTGAAACTGCAAATGGACCATGTGATCAAGGAATTGGAACGGGGCAGATATGCACAGGAGCAGCCGAAAGGCCAAAGCTCTACCCCATCCGGGCGAAAAGCTTAGATAGAATATTTGTGAATATTTATCCCCTCTTATTTCTGATTTTCAACGTCATCTACTGGTGTATTTACTTAATGGCATGGCATAAGACAGATTCGCGTTAACTTTATCTCCGCATGTACATACATGTCTATCGCTTTTATGACCAGATTAAAGAATTATCCAGTTATAAAATTTAAGTGATTAATATGCATACTTTAAAATAAAGTCATCAAACCCTGAAAAAATCTTCTAAATTTATTGATCAAATGTCACAATATGTCAATAAAACTGGGAAATAGAAATAAGTGGATTTCAGTATAAATAATAGTCTACGAATGGGTTCAAGTTAGTATTCGAATATGCCATTGTGCCAACCAACAATGTTTTTCCTTTACATCACTTTTTACGGAGAAGAAAAAGGGTAGTGAAAGTAGAGGGGAGTAGCTTTGAGAATAGTACGTCGAACTAATTATGGAGTCAAAATTAAAAACAGTACTATCTAAAGGAGGGGTGGGCGACTGACTTAACTCCACGTGGTGCATCCTGGGCAACGTTTGCTCATACGGCAAAAGGTCTATAAACCGGCAGTTGACTTCTCACTTCAAATTACTATGACCCCACAGCATATTATATTCGACTTCTTCCAGAGTACTCATCTTGCCTTATCTCTGCCTTTGTGTCAGTCTGTCTCTTACATATGTAAATCTCCCTTCTGTTCCCCCTTTCGAACTTTTCTTGCTTTAGTGTTCATTCTCTCATTGAAGCCCGAAGTCAACTAATGGACTAATTATATATATATATATATATTTGCCACTGACATTGTCATCTTGGAGTTACACTTTTGCGAAAAGGAAGATAAACAAAGATGTGGGAAACTAGATAGCAAAATGCTAGAAAAATTTCCACTTTGTTAGTATTTTGATTAAAAGGTAGATTGGAAAACAATTGGAGTAGAAGGAGATGCGGATTAACTATTTGACCACATGATAAGTATGGCGTAAGTGCTCAGCAACACTTTGGGAGGAGGGGGGCTAATGAAAACCTGGGAATTTCACCCTACATGAGGCAGGTATTGGAAACTCAAATATAAATTGAATAATCCAATTGAAATAGCTAAATTAGAAGAATAAAAAATATGGCAGTAGGCTTCTATCAAAACAAGTGTCGTGCACATGTTGGTTCAAATTCCTCGACATTTGGCCTAGTATCTAACCCCCATTACTGCAGTCATTAATCATATCATTCTAAAAATACTCTTGTAAAAATGTTGATAAATCGGCCTTGGAGTAACCGCAAATGTGTCTTGTCTTCCTGTATTTCTAAGTCTTAATAGGTTATAGCCATTGGGTGTCAAGTGGTCGGTTATGTCTGAGCATAGTAGTTTATTTATTTCAAATGGCAGGTGTTTTGATAGCTATCATTAGCCCTTTAGCTGACTTCGGGCTTCATAGAGAGGAGGGTGAGGATCAAAGTGACAAAAAGACGAGAGGGGGACAGAATAATGATTTACAGGTATAAAAGAGACAGACAGACTGACACAAAGGCAGAGAAAATGTAAGATGAGTACTGTGAAAGAGGTCGAACCTGACATACAGTGGTAGTTTGAAGTGATAAGTCAACTGCCGGTTAATAGACTTTTGTGCTCATGGGGTGTGCGATAGACTTACCTCCACGTGATGCACCCTGGGCAGCGTATACTCATACGGCAGAAAAGTCTATTAATCGGCAGTTGACTTCACACTTCAAACTACCAAGACTCCACCGCATTTCATATTCTGCTATTTAAACAGTACTCACCTTTTTTACCTTTTGTCAGTCTATCTGTCTCTTTTACGTCTGTGAATCATTATTCTGTCCCCCCCCTCTCTACTTTTTGCCACTTTGATGTTCCTCTTCATTTCTGTTAAGCCCGAAGTCAACTAAAGGGCTAATGATACCTATCATGACGCCTACCATTTGAAATAAATAAATATATTTTTGAAAAGACGCCTACCATTTGAAATAAATATTTGACTTACATTCTGGAGGACAGTTTGTGCCCAGCGTTCAGTTTGACCCCCCCCCCTCACAAACTCGCATTTAGCGAATTGAAATTAATTAATTCAATTATTATTTTATTGAATTCAATTCAATTTAAAAAAATATTAAATCTATTTCAAATAAATGATACTTTACTGATCAGGTGCAGTTTTAAAGAAAGCATGCCATTAAAATTAATTGCAAACGAATATTTTTTCCTGTTTAAGGATTATGATACTGATAATTTATTAATGACTCTTCATTAATCCATATATCTTCTAAGGTAAGATATAATCAAAGCAGTTGCAGTTGATTTATAATACAAAAATCTTGGAACGCTGACATGGTTTCTTCTTCTCTATCAAAATGTCATGCGAGAAAAGTAAGTGATGGCAATCATTATGGGAAACAGCATCACTTAACGCTAGTATGTGAAAGTGATAGCGTTCTTTCCTCTCTATTTTTGATATTCCCAGATGTTGGGAACAAATTGTGCAAAGCAATATCTGGCTGTATTTAAGAGTTATGCAAAAGGCATTCACGTGCACTACACGTCCTGTATATTCTCCAACCCTTCTTCGTTCGTTTACATGATGACAATGAAAACGGATGGTAACTGAAATCAGCCTCATTCATGGATTCGATTAACGTCAACCATGATAATTCACACTGATCATTAAAACTAGGTAACTATGGTTGCTGCTCAATACTGCCTCGCCACTGTGAAAGGAATTCAACAAGAACTGGGTAAGTAGAATGGAGCCTATGCGGTTTTAGTGGGAGGAAAGCAGCGAAACAGACAATCGGATCTGATTGTGACTGTACAACAGAGCTCCACTAAATTCCAATGCAGAAATGGTGTTGGGACACCCTGGCATAGGAATTTGGGCTTTATCGGCACAATCAGTCGAATGTTTCAATCTCCACCATGAAGATTCGGCCCAATGGATAGCCTCACTACTACAAGCACACTCAGGTGTTGCGGAGGTCAACTTCTCACAAGGAAATGGTCAGACAGTGAAGAAGAAACTTTTGAGCCAAGTGAAACGTCCTAGTGAAATACAAATAATCTGATTATTTGCCGAGAGGGAAGCACAAGACCAAAAAAGGAAATGGATTGTCTTAAGTGATGTTTTTTATGGGCACTCCTCGTGTCACACACACACATCACATACGCAAACTACATTCTCATAAACTGTTATGGTTACTTGCAAGTGTGTCCTTTGAAGGTGATGTGGTGATTCGACACTTTGTGAAAGATGTGACTGGACTGACTTCAGACTTCTGAGTCGAATCACGAGCCTCCTCGTTGAGTTAAGCCATCGATAACGAACGGAGGTAATCAATAATTGTTTATACGTACTGTAATAGTTTGCCATGAAATATGCAGGAAAGAGTATTTGAAGTTACTAATAACTAGAACACTTTAACATTTACTATTATTATAGGCTTTACGATATTTATCATTAGCCCTTAAACTTTGACTTCAGCTTCTCCCATGATTGGGGGGGGGGTACATATATAGCAGTTAATTAGCTGTCTTCTTGCTTCCCAGTATCTCTGGGTTTCCGTCGTCGTCTTTAGGGCTAGACACCGAATCAGGTGGGTCTTCCTGTCTTTAGGGCTGGACACCGAATCAGGTGGGTCTTCTGTGTCTTTAGGGCTGGACACCGAATCAGGTGGGTCTTCTCAAATGTAGGTTACATAGAGGGCATGTGGGTTGAGTGTATACCTACGTTACATAGAGGGCATGTGGGTTGAGTGTATACTCCCGGGAGGCTACATAGAGGGCATGTGGGTTGAGTGTATTCTCCCAATACAGTAAGGTGCGTCTTCTCCATTTCCTCCTGCAGGTTACATAGGGGGCATGGCTTCTCCATTTCCTCATGTAGGTTACATAGAGGGCATGTGAGGCTCCTGTAGGTTACATAGAGGGTATGTGGGTTGAGTGTATACCATTTCCTCCTGTAGGTTACATAGAGGGGATGTGGGTTGAGTGTATACTCTTAGGTTACATAGAGGGCATGTGGGTTGAGTGTATACTCCCTTCTGTGAAGGTGTTTGGCCAAGCAATCGTGTCCGGTACGTTTGTGAGGGTTTTTTGCCAAGCAATCGTGTCCGGTACGTAGTCTAAAGCGGCAACAGCTTCGATTCTTGACCAGTCGGGTATGTCGGAGAGTGCCACTGTCCACTGTTTCTCCACTGTCCACTGTTTCTCCTTTGTTCGAGCTTTGAGTTCGTTGGTATGGTCTGGAATTCTCTCCTGATTAAGGCCTTCATTACATGAATTCTCTCCTGATTAAGGCCTTCATTGTGTGGACTGTCCGATACGTAGTCTAAACTCAGCAACGGCTTCGATTCTCGCCAGCCGGGTATGTCGGAGAGTGCCACTGTCCACTATTTCTCCTTTGGGGCTATATCGGAGAGTGCCACTGTCCACTGTTTCTCCTTTCCGAGCTTTAAGTTCGTTGTACCTTGAGGTCTTGAATTCTCTTGATTAAGGTCTTCATTGTGTGGAAAGACATCGGCCGGTCAATGCCTTGCAATATCGTTGTCCCCTTCTTAGCAAGTGCATCAGTACGCTCATTGCCTTTAATGCCACGGTGACCAG